CTCCGCCGCCAGCGCCGGCCGGTACTCCGTGTCGGTGGAGGAGGAGAAGGAGGCTCTGGCGAGGCTCGACTCGCTGCTCGAGAGAGGCACGGCGCGCGTGGAGCTGTCGATCTCGATCCTCCCCTCGCCTTCGCCCTCCGCCTCGCCACCTCTCGGGGCCAGAGAGGGCGAGGCGCGGCCTGAAGGCAGCAGCGGCAGCAGCGGCAGCAGCGGCAGCAGCGGCAGCAGCGGCGCAGCCACTTCCTCTTCCTCCTCCGCCGCCGCCGCCGTCACCGTCGCCACCCACGACATTCTTGTGCGTCGGGTGTCCGGGCCGTCGGCGCACTTCCGGCGCGCGTCAGCACGCTAGAGCTTCGGCCACTCCTCGGGGAGCAGTACGCGTCTCTGTGCACCACTTTCCCCACGCGCGTGGGGGAGAACTCTGCGGGAGAAGTCTGCGAACGCAGCTGCTCATGATCTCGGGTACTCTCGGGTACTCTCGGGTACTCTCGGGTAATCTCGCAGCTGCTCATGATGATTGACCGCCCGGTCCTCCTCTCCCAGGCGCGTGTACGAGGGGTTCCGTGAGCAGCTCTCGATCGAGCTCGGGCTCGGAGGGTACGGAGGGCTGGCTGCGTACTCTCCTCTCTCGACCCCGAGGCGGCTGGACGCGATGCAGCTCGCCGCGCGCGGGGCTGCGGCGGGCTTCCTGCCCACGTCGCGGCTCTCGTGATCGACCAATCCTGATCGACCAATCCTGAGGGCGGGCCGGGACGCCCGGCCGGAGCCCCCCAGTGGGCGGGGTACAGCCGAGAGTCGGTAGCACCCATAGAGAGAGTGCGCCGCCTCTTCAGGCATCAGCCCGTTCGCATACCGTGTAGTACGTCATGTTCTGGGGCCATGTGTCGTGTGAGTCCACCTCGACGTTCGAGGTTACAGTATTTTGAGATGTGTGCTGTCTCTACTGGTGTTGGTACTCCGGTATACAAAAAACGTGTCTGGCTTAGTTGTTGAAGCCATGGCGCGATGGCGGTAAGGTACGTGGCTGGGTTCACAGCGATTGTAGGAAAATGACGGGAACACTTGACGGTCGCGGCCTTCCGACTCGCGCCTTCGCCTCACTGGCACTATTGTAGCCCTGGCCGGTGCGCGTGTGAAGTTGAAGTTCCGGAGTGAAAATTCGAACGCGTTCTCTCACGGTGACCAAAAAATGTCCACCTCAGAGGCACCTCCGGAGGCAGGCCGCCGCACGCCGGCGACACAGCTCCAGCTGTCGAACTGACCCGCAGCTCCTCTAAGAGCGGGAACTGTGACGAAAGTTGACTGAGGCGGTTGTCAGGAATCATCATACGGATCACATGGTGGCTCTCTCATGACGGGAGACCGCCCGACCACTCCTGGGTGGCACTGCCACCGGTGTCGCTCGACGTCCTGTCGACAGCGTGCCGACAGCGACACAGACCATGTGGGACGCGCCGAGTATCGACCTCTACTGCTTACCCAGCCTTCGAGTGTATCCTGGCTGTGGTCCCACACCCACTGGTGTCCATCTCAGAGACCGCAGGAGGTCATGAGGGTCGATGGGAGAGCCAACCCCACAATGCCTAAAAACCCAGCCCAGTAAGGTAAGGTAGATTTCTCCACACACACAAAGTGGTGGGGCAAGGGGGGGCGACCCTCGCATCTCCACACCCGGACACGGGTAGGTGAGGAGCCCCACGGCATTCAAAGTGCAAGCACTGGCCCGGTGCACGTGGGTGAGCACAAGCAGCCTGCCCCTCCCTCCCGAAAAACCAACTCCCGCACACACACAATCGCACTCAGGCCATCGAATGACTCCGAATGACTCACTGTGTGTGCTAAGACAGAATCTCCGCAGACAGCCAAAACGGGCCGTGCCGCGTTTGTGGTGTCTTCTCAAGCACTAGCATCCGGACGCCGCACTCGAGCGGGCGGGTCACATCTATGTGGGCCCAGTGTGCGCACTAGGCGCATACGTATGCTAGTGCTATCCTGCCCTATGGGAGGCAGAGGGATGGGGGGAGGGGGGGGCAGAGGTAAGGTGGGGTGAGACTGGGGAGGGCCTCAAAGGTCCTCCATGGGGGTGGGGTCCGGCCCGAACAGGTCGAAGCCGGTCCCGCCATCGCCGCCGGCGCCGTCGCCCTCGTCCGCCTCGGAGGCGGAGGTCGTCGAGCGGGGCGTCTCGCCCGTCGCGAACCTGCCGCCGAACACGGCGTCGGCCGGCGCCGAGGCGCCGGCAGCCGTGATCAGGTCGGCGACCTTCACTTTGAATGCCGTGGGGCTCCTGCCCGTGTCCGGGTGTGGAGATGCGAGAGCGCATCTCTCTCTCTGTTGTGCGAGGCGTGAACCGCGCCATTCGCTCTCACCTGGCAACCCTGTCTGCACGTCTCGCGCGCGCGTGAACAGGGCTCCGACGTGCGAGTGTTAGAGTTGTTTGGTATTGCTAAAAATCTCTCCGGACCCCCACCCACGCACGATAACAATCTCGATGGAGCACTTGGAGGATGTTTGTCTCTTTCCCGCTGTCAGCAAAAAGATAATTAAACAAAACAACTCTCTCTGACAGCAGACAGGCTCGACACAGGTGCGAACTGGCACGTGCTAGAGCACTATCACACGCAAAAAGAGAAATGCGGAAATCTCAGTGACCTGACGCCTGCTGTGGCTCGGTCGACGGCGTGTCTCGCGCCTTGCAGGCGTGCTGCCGACTGTGAACATGTTCGTGCACCGGCTCAGTTCTCGCGCGGCCGGGGCCGTGAGGCTGTGGAACGGCGAGCCAGCGCGGCGATCCACCCCTGCACCGACGCCAGAACTCATCCTTTTCGAGTACGAGGCCTCTCCTTGGTGCCGCCGCGTCCGAGAGACACTTGGCGTGCTCGGCCTCGCGGCTCTAATCAAACCGTGCCCTCGCGAGACGCTGCGGGCGGAGGGTGCGTTTGGAGCAACCTCGAGGCACAGGCCCGAGGCGGCTGCCGCGGCGGCGGAGGCGGGAGCATCTAGCCGCCTCAGCTTTCCTCTGCTGGTGGACCGGACGGCGGGCGTCACGCTGAGCGACAGCGCCGCCATCTGCGAGCACTTGTGGTCTCTGTACGGCGGCGGCGTCGAGCGGCCAACGCTGGATCAGGCGCTCAACCCAAGGATGCGGACACTGCTCGACTTCCCTCTCCTTGCGGCGCCTTCGGCGCTGCGCCCGTGGCCGGAGGCGGAAGATGCTGGCACTATGCTCCGCCGGAAGCTGTGAACCGGTAAGCGGTGATCCGAAGGCTGGGGTAGGCGGGGCTGATGCTGGCGCCTTCTGAGCCCAACCAGCAGCCGCTCCTGCTCTACGGCTGCGAGGCGGCCCAATGACTCGTTCCCTCTAGTACTGATCATCTCCCAGCGTAGCACGGCGCGCGCAACGACTAGTTATCCATGTCCTGCTGGTTGACATTGTCACTCTCCAGCGTAGCGGCTGCGAGGCGGCCGGTTGACTATTTGATGACTACTGACCCAACCTGCGCCTTCATTCTTGACCGACTCCTCCTTTGCGCAAGGCGGACGCGGGCTCGAGGCTCGTCCGCGAGGCGCGAGATTACCCGAGATTACCCGATATTACCCGATATTACCCGATATTACCCGAGATGATGACCCGAGATTACCCGAGATTACCCGCGGGCTCGAGGCTCGTCCGCGAGGCACGCTCTGCTCGCTCCCGCTCCGGCACCACCGTCCGCCTTGCCGACCAGTGAGTGGTCTTCCCCGTGCAGGCGCTCTGCTGTCTGCAGCTCGAGTACCGCTCACAGCCGCGGCCGCTGTCGGCGCCGCTGCCCGCGCTCGAGGATCCGAACAGCGGCTTCGCTGCGTTTGGCGCCAGGCAGGCGCTCGAGCACCTCGACCGCACCCACCGCACCGGCGAGGCGCTCGGCTGGCTGGCGCCGCTGCCGTCGCCCAACCTCGGCGAGGCGCGGATGCACCCCGTCCTCGCGCGCCTGCTCGGGCGATGAGGATAGCGCCGCTCTACGGTAAGGGAAGAGGGAAGGAGAGAAATAAGGTAAGGTAAGGTAAGGTAAACTTCTCCACACACACGAGGTGGTGGGGCAAGGGCGAAGGGGGGGGGGCAAATAGAGAAATACATAATAAATAGAACTCCAAGTACACGGTCAACATGTGTGAGTCGGACCGGAAAAGGCAAAGACTTGAGGTTACGTATAGACATTAGTCAATAGAGCCGTAGCTTGGTGGAGCACTTGCGAAACTTGGAGCGCACTCTTGGAGTGCAGTGTCATTTGCGAAATGGCTAGTGTCATTTCACTGTGGCACAGCTCGCGTTACAAAACCTTGATTTGACCATTTGCGCAAAAAGGTACATGTCGGTGCCTTCCAGAGGCAGCTGCGACCCCGCCGAGTGGACCGGGAGGACCCCCGGATGGCCCTTACGGGGACCCTCCCCGTAGGCGGCTCTGCAAGTCTCGATCTCTTGCTTACTTGCAACCCCCGCCACAAAGCTCTGAACGACACGCCCCCGCTAATGTCAGAACCCCTTCCCGGACAGTTCTTAGGAAACGGCCTGCACATTCTTGCCGTTCAACATGGCGCATCTCTCAAGAAAGTAGACTGGGAGG